AAACCAAACTGTTTCGAGGGCAGACATATGGTGGCTCTGCGGAGATGGCCAGTTGAGACCCAGACTCCCCTCACTGTGGTGCGGTTTCTGTGCCCTGGTACAGCTGCTGATGCCTTTTCACATATTCTCCTTGAGAGAATACAGGGAGCTGGGGGAGAAGCTGTTATCTGCATCCCACCTACATCGTGAAACCAGATCTACAGGCGAGCCCAGAGGATCGTTCAACAACAGAGTGTACTTAGATGCAATTGGTGTACCCCAAGGAGTACCTGATGAATTTAAAGCTAGAAATCAAATAGCTGCAGGGTTCGAATCTTTTCTTTCCTGGTGGGTGACAGTAAATAAGAATGTGGATTGGATTAACTACTTATACTATAATCAACGTTTTGTGAATCATACCAGAGATGCAATTAGAGGCATAGCAGAACAACTGGGCCCAACTTCTCTCATGTCATGGCAAAACAGGATGGCCCTAGATATGTTGTTAGCTGAGAAAGGAGGAGTATGCAAAATGTTTGGCAGATTTTGTTGTACTTTTATACCTAACAACACTTCCCCAGATGCATCACCAAGGCCCTTGAAGGACTGACGGCCCTATCCAAGGAGCTGCCTGTGAACTCTGGCATCAACAACCCCTTCGCCAATCTCCTGGAATCCTGGTTCGGAAAGTGGAGTGGTCTGACCGCTTCTGGGCTGATCCCTCTGTCCGTAGCTGCAGCCCTACTGGTTGTGTGTGGCTGCTGTTGCATTCCCTGCCTGCGAGGACTGATGGCGGGACTGATAGACACTGCTCTAAGACTATGTATCAACAGATTTGAGACGAGGAAAAAGGAGAAGACCACTACGAACTGGACGATTGGGTTTGAAAAGAGACTTACCTAATTCTAATCTGAGTGAACCACATATGACTTGTTTTAATGAAAACCTGAAAGGGAGAGTTTAAACAATGAAGATCCTGGGAGGAAGATGATCAAAAATTATGTTGTTAATAAAGTGATTCTAAAAAGTTTAAGCAGGAGGGAAATGTCATGAAAATTACATTATTAAGTATGTTTTAAACTGTGTTCTTATCAATATATTAACCAACATATGTTTATTCAATGGATTTTAACCTTTCAGAACAGACTACAGATCACAGGGACCTGTGAGACACTGCTTGTGTGAACTGAAGGACATGTTCTACCTCTGTTTTAATACTTTGTGTGTTGTTATATGTTCAAATATTGTGATGTTTAGACTAGCTTATTCAGACAACTCTGTACGCCTATGCTGACTTGTCTCCTTGCTGCAAGTAAACCAATCTCTTACTGAAAGATTCCAGTGACTTCGTTGCTTCTTTGAAAATTCTTTTGACACATATACAGTATCTTCAACAGGTCACTGGAGCTGTGTGAAGTCCCCTCCTGCTTCAAACACTCCACCATCATCCCGGTATCCAAGGAACCCTCCATCAGTGGACTGAACGACTACAGACCTGTCGCCCTGACAACTGTAGTTATGAAGTCCTTTGAGAGGATAGTGTTGACTCATCTCAAGGACATAAGACCCCCTGCTGGGCCCCCTGCAGTTTGCCTACTGGGCAAACACCTCAGTGGATGATGCAGTAGGCTTTTCCCAAATGAAGGCAGTCAACATGAATAGCGTATATACACTTTCTCATAACACGTCTATAAGTTTACCATAAGAAACAAGATTTATTGTCACACATAATATGAAGAAGACTCAAAATATGTATCTCCCAAATTGTTCAAATACCACGTTTTGAGTCTTTTCATTGCATTTACATGCATTTGGCCAGTAGATGTTGCCAGAGTGGGATGATTCACGTTTCAAAACAATGAATCATTTTCCAAAGCAACTGGTTCAAAGCTTCAGAAAGACTCGTTTTTACCACCACTACTGTACAGAGGTTGTCCTGTTAAACTTGTGTTTAACTCCACAGAAATGCGAGCCTAACTGCAGAAGAGGGGATATGAGTCAGGAAACTAACTTTAGACTTGATAAAATCATAAAGACCCCCAACCCAACTTTAACATCAACACCAGTGATGTGTGGTTTCACTCTTCTCAAGGCACAAAAATTCAAAATGATGTAATAACCTTTCCTGATAGCAGTTTAGGACAGGAAACCTCCTGACCTGTGCTGAGCGACTTGAAACCTACCAGTCCCACCTCTACAACTGTTTTTTTAAATAACTCTAATGAAAGATTTATTAACATGTGAAGTCATGTACCATATATTGAACAATAACTATGATAGTTTCATGTAGAATACATTAGACTCTGTCTAAATCCATCTGGAATATTCTTTGGTCTAACAATATAATATGGGATTATTATGTCCTGATCGAAAAGAAGTCTTCCTCAATAACATATGTCAAATGCAGTATAATAAAGACTAGCTATGGAAGTGACTGAAAGTCACCGGCTTGCTTATAGCAGAGACTAAAATAAGTCTGAAACTGTCAAGTACTAAAATTTGTCATTGCTTGCTTGGTCTTAGTCCTAGTCCTGTTTACTTATTTTATCATATGTACATTTTTTAATATTATGTGTGTTAACCTCACCATGAAAAAATTCTGTTTATATCCGTAATAAAACTACAACATAAAACTCTAGACAGGCCAGTCTGCAGAACAAGTGCTTTTAATCTTCAAAGTACATAGTACATTTTGCTGCCAGTACTTCTCTACATGCAAATGCATAATAACAGTTTAAATACAACGATCCAACATGTAATGTAATGGCTGCTTTAATATCAGTACATCATCTAAATATTTCCTCTTGCCTTGCTTTGGGCCATATGTGATATTTTATTTCCCTCTTCTGGCCAAATAATATGCCTATCACTGGGATGTCTTGCATTTCCAGCAGCACCAGAGTCAGACCTTTAGCTGAAAAATTTAATTGTCCAGGCTTAAAAATGGACATGGTTGAGTGAAATGTGTATGTCGTATCTATGAAGATCGCACCTTAAGCTGTTGTGTCTTTAAATATAAATGCAGGTGTAGGATTTTCTTAATATGTCTGGTCAGATCATATTCCAGAGAGAAAAACTATGGTCCTGTCAGTCTTCAGTAGTCCTCTGTCCTCCTCCCTCCTTTAGTCCTCATCACTGCCCATCTGTAAAGGGTCAAAGTCTGGGTCCTCCTCATCTAAATCCAAGTCCTCAATGTCCTGGAACAGTGACTCGTCCACTTCAACGTTGTTTCCAGCTATAGAAGAGGAAAGATGTGTGTTACGGTAAAAGCTCTTGTTTGTGATGTTCTTACAGTGTTCAATAGCTTCCCGTTTTCTTTAAAAACTGTGCCTTATGACAACAGACATGATCTGGGATGGACGAAAAACAAATGCAGCCACACACTTTGATCTGAAAACCTTTTCAGATCTGTGCTCACACCATATGGGCCACATTTCAGTTATGGAAATAAAAATGTACAAGCTTTTCCTATTAAAATCAACAAGTTTGTCTGTACTGAATCAGTTCTCATTTCTACAAAGATTTATTTTTTTGTTACCACTATTTGTACTATAAATAAGCCTTATGAGTGGACTTACTCTCTTCAAGGAACTGAATATCAGATGTGTCCAGGTTGTGGTCTCTCTCAAACAGCTGTTTACCTGAAATGGATATATGTAATAAACTTTCCAAATCGTGAGCATTGACAGAAACATATTTAAGTAACAGTATCAGGGTTACCAGTGAGTTTGGGCTTTCCTGTCTGTTCCTCCTCCTTTAGTTTCTTCCTCCTCACCTCAGCCATCTCCAGCTCAAACTTGGCTTTCCACACCAGAAAGTTTTCAATGGTTACCACTGTCCCCTGGAATGCCACCTGTCAAGACACACATACATACACATCATTACATTATCATACTATACAAACACCACCACCAAAAAAAAAAAAAAAAAAAAAAAACAATCTCAGTGAGACCCACGACAATTAAAAATTTGCCTGTCAGACTCTGGTAACAGGTAATATCTAGCCACAGGGGTTGCAAACCAGTGACTTCTGTGCCGGTCCCCAGCCCGGATAAATAGTCAGTTGTGTCAGGAAGGGCATCCGGCGTAAAAGCATGCCAAACTTAAACATGCGAATCATCAGTGTGATTTCCATACCGGATCAGTCGAGGCCCACCAGTGCTGTTGACCTACAGGGTGCTGGCGGAAATTGGACTACTGTTGGCCAAAGAAGGAGAGGAGGCAGAAGGATTC